CACGCCCCTCCCTTCCCCACCCCGCGCTCGGCCGCCGCCGCGGCCCGCGGGCCCGACGGGGCAGGGAGGGGGTGGGGAGGGGGGCGAACGAGCCCTGGCGAACGAAGCCGAACGGAGCCGAACGCGCCCGAAGCTGTGATACAATGGAGAATGATTAGAACGATGTAATAAGTGAAAGTGAGCGGCGCGCTGCCAGCTCGGTCCGCACGGCAGGGGAGGGGAGCGGGGCCTACCTGCCTCTACCTGGCGGGCCGGCGGCGGGGCGGGGCAGGGCGAGGGGCACAACAGGCTCACAGCGGCAACCAGGCACAGGGCCTTGGTGGCCACGGGGCCCTGGGTCGGTGTGGTAGGGCGGGGCGGGGTGTGGCGGGGCCTGGCGGGGCAGGGCGTGGCGGGGCGTGGTAAGGCGGGGTGTGGCGTGGTCCATCAAAGGATCCTACGGTCTAGTCCCGCACCGCGGCGGTCAAGCCTATCGCCTTGCCGGCCGGACGAACAGCTCAGCCACAGCCGACCTCGTGACCTGCCAGCCGCACCTGCCGGACCCTGTCCACGTCCACGGCTGTCCCGGACGGAGGTCCCCAGGACCTGCAGGCCCACAGGTGTCGCGTGGGCGGCGGAGGGCCTGCGCGACGGGCCTGCACGATTATTACAGCAGCAGCTGCGGCAGCTGCACTCTAGCCCGGGCCAGCTGCGGCGCCCCGCCCCGCCCAGCCACGCCGCGCCGCCCGGGCCGAATCGTATCGGATCGGGTGGGTGACCCACTTTCCCACAACACAAACCAGGTCTATGTTAGCGTCCCAACTGTCCCGACCGACAGCGCGGGCCCTCACCTCGGTAAGCCCACAGGCTTCCACCGGGTAAGCTCACAGTGAAGGCCCGCAGGGCGAGCCCACGGGCCCAGCTCAAGGCGTGGTCGCGGGCCGCTCATGTTTGAGGACCCCCACTCCCCCTATCTCCTCAACTGCAAGCATTGCGCCCCAGACAGTCCAGGTCCAGGCCAGCACGCCGGGCCGACCCAAAGGCCAGCGAGCCGAACCGAAGGGCCCCTCCGCCGAGGGAAACGTTGGAGGCGAGGAGAGAGAGGGAGAGAGAGAGAGAGAGAGAGAGAGAGGTGTTCCCGAGGGTGCCGCGGCGCGAGGCGCTGGTCGCCGGGCGGGCCGAGCCGCGTGGGGCCTTAGTGCGAGGGAGAGGGGAGAGAGGGGAGTGGGCCCCTCAGGGGAGCGCGGAGGGACAGGGGCCGGGACTGCCTCACTCCTGGGAGCCGTGCCGTGGCGAGTCGCAAGCGAGAGTGGTCCAAGAGGGTGGGGGGGTTGGGAGGGGCGCGGAGCGGAGCGGTGCGGGGCGCGGGTGGGCGGCGGCAGGGCAGGGCGCGTGGAGGAGGGGAGGGGCGAGGGAGGAGGGCGGGGGCAGGGCGCCCCGTCCTACTGACCCACTTAGACACTATTCAATCCCAACGAATGGTCGGTCTGTCTGGCCGTCTGTCGGTCCGTGCCCGTCCGTCCGTCTGGGCCCCGGCTGCAAGGCTGTGCCCGTGCGGTAACGTTGCGTCGCGCTGTGCGTCGCGTTACAGGCGTCGCGACGCGCGGCGTTGGCGGCGTTGCCGGATCGACGAATTGTTTTGGCAAATTTAGGCAAATAGAAGACGCGACGCAACGATACATCGTGCGGGCTAAGTCTGCAGTAAAGAGTTGAGTCCGTCCATGCAGTGAGTCGCACCGGGACCGGGGTGGGATACTGCCATAAAAGTAAAAATTAATCAACAAATAAATTATGACAACAATAACAGCCACAATAAAAACAGAGCAAAATCGTTCAGGAGGCGAAGAGACCATAAAAAAAAACACAGGATTACCACAGCGAAAAAGGAGCAAATAGATTAGCGCCGCGTAGAGGAAAGATACCAAAGAACCAGGTCCAGTCCAGCAGACACGATTAACAAATCGAACTTCAAACTTAAAGAGGGTCATTACGAAAAAAACTTGAACTATACTGCGTAAGGGTGCAGGCTCAGTCAGGCAGCTCTTTGCTAAATACCCTGAAAAGAAACACATATGGACATGGGCTGATTCACATATTGACAATAATCACACAATTTCAAATGTTTATGTGCATTGGGATAGGGAGGCAAATAAATGCATAATTCGGAAATGCACAGAACAAGGGCTCATTCTCTCTCCCTCTCGCACTCACTCACACACACTCACACACACACACACACACACACAGCCAAAACAATGCAACTAGCCGGCCCCGTTCCGCCTCGTCCCCGCCGTCATGTCCAAGCAAGTCCGTTGGTGTGTTGATTTACTGTCCAAAACCTTCTGCTGTGACAAGGGAGGGAGAAACACGGCAGCAGCCCGCCCCGCCCCGCCGCCCCAGCAATACGGCGACGCCGTGACACAATTTTTGAGGGGGCGGACGTCAACACAACCACACTACCGTGCGGCAATCGGATTTCCATCCTCGAGGAGCCCGACTAGTCCCTGGAGCAGGGCGTGGCAAAAGCGTGCCGACGGAGCCGGCGAGAGCCCAGGAGTGCGACCAATCGGATTGAAACGCGCACAGCAACACAACGAGGGCTTTGGATAGATAGATAGATAGATAGATAGATAGATAGGTTTATATTTGCTGGATAGATGGATGGATAGTGATGCGAGAATACAGGTAAAAGTGTAACAGATAGATTTTCATATTGTTACCGACTCTAGTAGAAGCTGGTTAAAACAGTGTGGTAAGAGAATATAAAAGATTGTGCCCACATCCCAAATTCGCAATCGCATCGCTACAAATCGCTATACACGATACGATTGAGGATACAAACACCGACAAACACACTCGTGGACGTCGATGAAAACACGAGACGAAAACATGTTGGTCTAAAAATGTTACAATTTACAACACGTCCTATTTGGGGTATGACTAATTCGCCGCTGCACGGCGGTGCTTTTGTTTGCACACACGGCACGGCGTGGCGGGGCGGGGCGAAGCAGAGCTCGAGCAGAGCCGACCGGCCGGCCGTACCGGCTCAAAAGACTGCCGTGCACTGTCGTGCTGCTCGTCTCCAAAACGTTTGCTTTTGGGAAGACAATAGGCCGGCCAGCTCTTCAGGTCGCACCGGACACATGGCTAACGGGGCGAGCCCGGGCGAGCCGCTGCCGTCACTAAGCCGAGCCCCCTGAGAGCCCCGCCGGTGTGCGCCCGCGCGGGCGCGGCTGGGTCCCCCGGGTCACTCGCCGAAATTAGAAACCAATTCGCGCGAAAACGAAAAGTGCTGTCGGGTCGTAGGAAAAAAGCGGCTCGCCGCTGCGGGGCCGCTGACCCCGCCGCAGGGCCAGAGATGCATCGCGTCGTTGTGTAGGGAAAAAAGGTAAATACATCTGAATACAACAGGAAAAGTGTTGCAAAGAAATTTGAAGGGTTATGACGTTATGACATTGCAAACTACAAGTAGTCGCTCGTTACAAGAAAAAAAAAAAAAGATTGTCAGTGATACATGATATCTATAAACTCTAAATACGCGATAAAAAAAGAGAAACAGTGAGCAAAGTTCACTGATAAAGGCAATTTCAAGGGTAGTAAACCCTTTCTTTTTCGGCCACTACGAGGTCCCGCGTCCCCAAAACTTTTCAAAACCGATCAACACTTTTTTGGGAGCTGCAAAAGCACAAGAATAAGGAGAGCGGGCGGTGCGGCGATGAGGAGTGGGCGGGGGAGAAAGGGGGGAGGGTAAGAAAGGGCGACCCAGATACCACCGTGCATTATATGCACTTTAAAGGTATGAAATATGGCGGCCGTGTCGTAAAAGAGATGGCCCGGTCCGCTCGCCCCGCTCGCCCTACAGACCAGGTCTCCCGTACCGCGCGGGGGAGGGGGCAGGGGAGGGATGAGAGGATTCAATACTCGGAGAGCCTGGGAAGGTAGAGGAGCAGTACGGTAAAAGGGAAAGGGGGAAAAGAGGAGAGGCAGGTCAGCCCTTCCTCGGGACACCAAACGAGAGAGATTTTGAATTTGAATTAGTTTATTG